TGTGATCTCTAGAAGACACATTACAGTCTTCTCCACTAAAAGTTAGGAACGTGAGCATCTTGAAATTGAGAGGGAAAAGATTCTGCTCATCAATGTACTCAAGATAAGGCTTCTGATATGTTATCCTAAACATTGGGTAGGCATGCGGCTAAGCATTATATACTACCATCCTTCTCAATTCTGCTGGTTCATTCCAGAGTTGTTGGTTAGCCATATTATTGTGTGAGGGATAGGGAGTCCCCCACTTCGAGCTATGATCGGTGCTCGAGAAAGCTTCCCTCTATAGGTCTGGCTGTCTCCATCTTACTTATCATCCTCCTTTATTAGCTAATTGTGGTGGCCTGTAAGGAAGATACTTGCCCCAATTGTGGATAAGCCATTTCCGCTTGTTTCTCCCACCGAGCTAGACGCGCCAATCTTTATCCTTTCATAACCGACCTACCTTCTAACATCTGGTGGTGGTGGGGGATTGAGCAAGCTTGCTTCTTGAAACTCTTCATTTTCTCGCTGACTGGTTTTAACTTCTTCCTTCATTTTCCCTTTATTTTTCTTTTCTTCAAGTATGGGGAACAAAGGAATTACTGGTTCTTTTTCTAGGCTTGGCTCTGTGATTCTTTCCCTGGTGTAACTATCATTCGGTGTGGAGTACTCTAACCCTAACTTTCTTTGTGGAGTTCTTGTTAAGGAACATAGCCTACTAACCTTTCATATGGTCACCAAAGAGATCTTCTCCATACTTTTCAGTACTTGCACTATGGTGGCTTGCAAATCTTCATTAGTGACTTTTTCAACCGACTTCTCAAAGGAGGTCGGGCTCTCTAAGATTGTAGGGCCGTGTAGTGAAGGAAAGTTCTTTGGGTGATTTGTCATGCCTGCTTTTATTGGACAAAGAGGTTGCCCAAATTCCACCTTCCACCTAAACGTTTGATCCTTCCTTTATCTTGGCATACAATATCACAAAATGGATCCCACCGAGTATGCCAAAACTATGTTTAGGATGGATCTGTCCCTCGTACAGCTCCTCGGGGTCTTTCCTGTCAGGCAAGGTTTGCTGCTTGGTATGCTGCAATATAAGTTTGCTATTAGTCTGAATGGTGCCTTTATGGGGCCCTTGTTAGGCCTTGAAGCTCACAATCAAAACTAATATGGATCTGAGCGTGCCACTGCTATCTTTGTATAACAGATTATTCTTTTTTGGTTATTAACTGGGTTGATTACTTGTGCCATAAGTTACTTGGACTTCTTGATCTTACTGGATTGTTACAGATGTGTTAAGTCTGCATAAGCTTCTTTTCTCACCTCGTAAACAAGGACTTTTACTCATACTATTATATGTCCAGATAAAGGGAGTTCAAGGCCTTTCCAACTATTTCTTTGATTACAGTTAACACTAAAGAAGCAATGTTAATTAGTTTAGCTAGATTAATCACAAATGAACTTTGAAAAACAGTTGAAAGTGGTTTAAAACACAAAGAAAGATGCATTAAACAATAGATCTACTTTATGTAAGCACAAACAAAAAAGATTCGGGCAAGATTATAACCTTGTCTGGCAAGGTTCAACTTCTTGCGACCACTTCTCTTTGTGTCTTACAAGGGTTGTAATCTTTGGGGAATGAAAGGTAAAGCGATTTTACAAAAGGGATTCGATACTACAACACTGGGAAAAAGTAGTAGAGCTTCTAAAACTTGACAAAAGATGACTTTCTACGATGAATCTATGACTAAAAGAGCAGAGTCTGGACAACTAAAACTTTTTGGTTTCTGACTTGTCTAAGAGCAAAGTGGGATGTCTTTTGATTGATTGGTTGCGTGTCCTTATCTTTGGTAGCCCTTGCTACTTTTATAGGCTTTTTAGCCCGACTGTCTAAGCTTTGCCTTTTAGTGATGGCCTCCGGAACATGGCGAGTCACCACTTATTTACCTATCCATGCCCTCAAAAAGTACTTTTTGTTGGGATGAGCTACCCTTCTGAGTGTCACTTCTCTCATATGTCTATTGCCTATTCCTTGGCAAAAATGATTTTTAATTCCTCTTGGGCCGTCGACTTGTCTCTTTTCTTTTTGTGTTCTTGGACCTCGACTCTCACTAAGCCTAGCATTAAATATCCACTGAAACACACTATCTTCTTTTTCACATGGTTTTGCAAATTATTCTAAGGTTCCACTACCATGGCCAATTAGCAATAGTGGCATCAGTCTATGTAGCATAAATTGGAATGAAATGATTATCCACATGATATGTTGGGATTCTGTGACTCGAAACGATTGAGTCGTGAGTGTGCATGGAGTAGTTCCATGAGCGTGCGCAGGTGTTCACGTATACATTTGGATTCCATATCACGTATTTGTGTCGTGAAACATGCACGTGTCTTAGAGAGCTTTCTACATAGACCAATTCTTGTATAAAATAAAATAAAATTTTAATTTCTTTCTCTTGATAATTGATCATTTGTAACCAGTGCATGCATGCGACAGTTGATTATGTGATGAGTGTTGTATACATCTTACCCAATAATTTCTTCATTTGGCGTTGAGATTATCTAAAATACTAGCCATTTAACAACATCATTCCTGAACAGTTGAAGTGCTTCTTACTCATCTTCATCATCCGACAAGCCAATTGATTCCCCAAAGCAATAGGTTCCTTTATTTCCATTTACAGAATTTCTCACCAATATTTTGGATGATTAGACCGATACTACATAATCTTTTATTTAATTTTATTTTGGATCTTTATTTGGACATTCTCCTTCAATCTTCTCATCTATTTTAATAATTATCTTTGCAATATAGTTTGAGGATCAAAATCTTCTAATTTTTAGGCCACTATCAGTTGAAAAAAAAAAATCAATCAAATCAAAATTACTAGTATAAGACTGACGGTGGAAAAGCGTCATCTTTCATGTTTTGAAAACGTCATACATGTGAATATCGTCCCATTAATTATATTAGATGACTAGGGACGTCTCGTTTAGTGTCAAACGATGGCTTTTAGCTAAAACCGTCATCCCACCACCCAAAAATAAGCAAGAAAATTGGGGTTTCAAGTACAAATAATTGTTCGTTCGATGCGTCGTTTGTGTAACACATATTGACAAGGTCAGTTTTGGATATTGATTCAGGACAGATTTAGGTTGTCATTCCAAAGGCATCCACACGATACTTTCTAGAAAACCGTTGTCCCACTAATTAAAATCTAAAAAGTCATGTACAAGACGACGTTTTCCAAATAAACCGTCGTGCGAAGCATCACCAAACGATAGTTTGGCATAAAACCATCATCCCATCTACACAAAGAGACGACGGAAAACCCATTTTTTTAGTACCATGTTTGAAGAGTAAAGGAATTAAGCAATATTTCAACAATCAAACGATTTGAAATATTGATAACTACACATGTATCAAAACAAGAAAAACACAATAGTACTAAACGCCAAACTATCCATGAAGTTCCAAATAAGCCTCTAATAACAAGGAAATTGTCGTTTGAAGACTTGAGGTTAATGGCATTGAAGTTTGAACTGCGAGAAGCCCTCCTTGAAAGCCTTGTACTTGCAAATTGGAACCGATGGGTAACCGATTCCTAAACAAAAAGCATTTAGAACACCAAATCGCACCAAACAAGGTTATCAGCCAAACGAAAACCAAATTAAACCTAGAAACTAACCATTTACCAAAATTAGCTAAACTTGGGACTCAACATAGAAAATATTTATACCTTGACTGAGAGTAGAGAGGAAATAGCCACATAAAACCCACATCAATGAGAGCATCTCTAATGGGAGTCCATATTTAGGGATTCCCACCACCACCTTTGAGTACTCATTTAAAGACTTAAAAGGAATCTTTGTGTCACTTAAGGAATATTGCTTCCAACGGAAGAGTCTTTATAGTACAATCCCTAAATTTGAGGTTTTTTCAATTTTAAGTGACTGAGACCCGCACCTTCTTCCCTGAGTCCCTATATGTAGGTACAAACACCAAGTATATGGCGAGTCCCTATACTTTAGGGACTCACTTTTCGATGCATTGAAGATTCATTTTGTCCCTATATTACTTTCATACTCAATTTATACGATAGTTATCCTTATATAGGGACTCTACTGGAGATGCTCTAAGCATGAAATGCGTTTCAAAACAAATTCAAATCAAATTGAAAAAAATTCAAGCTGAACAAATAAGCAAGTTGAAACCCCAAACTGGAATTACCAAGAACGCTCACAATCTAAGTCGTTCTTCCTTCGTCGTCGGAAAGAGGGAGTGACCACAACCTCAACCATAAATGCTTTTTTCAACAAAGCAAGAGAGTGACCACTACTGAAAATTGGAAAGGAAAGAGAATGAAGGGGTAAAAAAGGATTGTCACCGACTCCAAAACCAAAGGCATTCTTCTTAGTGACTCCAATTGTGTTAGGTTCCTTACTTAAGTCTTTCTAACAATTTTTCTATATGTTTTGACAATTTTGATACAAACGAGTTAACCTCTCAAATAGATAGTCAAATAAATAGAAGTGTGATAAAATGACTTAAGTGAGAAACACGATGCAATTAAAGGAAATCCTCTATGACGAAACATGTGTAGCTCATGGATATCTCCCCTATGGGAAATCATGAGAATCTGTCATTTTCACGAAGAAATCATGCACGGAGGTCGGCATCAAGTCGATTGAAACCCTCAACTTCTGCGCCAAGATGTTAATAAGTAACCTTACCGCACGTTTCCCAAGTGATTTTTTTTATCTAATCGACAATTGAAAAAGACAATTTGCAGACGTCTACTTGAAAAAAATCATTAGTAAATCAATCGTTTTTCATTTTGTACCAAACATGTAACTCGTTTTAAATTCTTCTGTCTCGATACTTGAATCCCCTCATCCACTATGTAAACGAGAATCTATCATGATGCAATTGATGGGCCCGGGTCCATCTACTTTCTGGGCGAGATTATTAGAAAGCCCAAATGATGTGGGCCTGATTGTCGATCGTACCCCGAAATCATAAAATCCAACCCATCGACCTCATTCCGTTTCCTTCTCCCTCTCTTCTTGCTCAGTGAACAGCGCTTCCCTCTTCACTTGGCCGAGTCACTAGCAACTCCGACCTCCGACCGAAACCCTAGCTCTCTGCCACCATGAACTGCGCACGTAAGCCTCTCTCCCGCTTTCTCTCTTTATCTATCTCTCCCTCTCTAGAGAATTCGCTGCTTTAGGGCCTCGTTTTAACTGATCTCTCATTTTCTTCCTTCTCTTCCTCCTAGCCTGTACAGTATCCGGCGAGGTGCCGGAAGAGCCTGTGGTCTCCAAGAAGTCCGGATTGCTCTTCGAGAAGCGTTTAATCGAGCGACATATCTCGGTGCGTTCCTTCTCTCTCCCTCTCTTCATTCTAGGTTTTTCTTTGGGTTTTAGCAATATTTACTGTTTGGTTGCTGGGAAAATCCTGGAAAATAAGAGAATAATAAACATGTGGAAATTTCTTAGTGCATTTTGTTTGGGCTATTTGTTGCTGCTGTTATATGTATGATATCTTAATTTTGTTGATTAAGTTGCAATTTCATTGCTACATATGATAGAAGACTAAGTTGTACTTGTTGAATTATTCCACTAGGAATATGGGAAATGCCCGGTAACCGGTGAACCACTTACCGCTGATGATATCGTTCCAGTTCAAACGGGGAAGGTACTGAATTTCAATATATTTACTTAATTTATTTCATTACTCTTACAATTTTTGGTATATATTTCTATATCTTTATATAAGCGTATTTATGTGCACGCAATTATGGGTATCTGGAAAATTACCTCTTAGTCATTGGTCTCAATGAGTTGTGCTAGAATCTTTATCAGATAAGCTAGTTGGCGTCTTGTAATTATTATAATTTCTTATGTTGATTTGTTCTATGGCTTCCTATGCAGATAGTGAGGCCCCGACCTGCACAAGCTGCTAGTATTCCTGGAATGCTCGGAATGTTCCAGCTTGTATGTCTTCTGATTATACTCATTTATTATATTCAGTTTGTTCATTTTTTTTTTTAATTTACAATTGTAGCTTTGAATGTTGTCGTATACCTGTGCTTTATACTCTACAACAATTGTCGCAATTAGTTGCAACTTTGTTTGCCCTTAACATGTCGTGGTCTGTAAATTATCCAAAGAGAAACCATCTTTATTATACATGTGTGTGACTTTGATTGCCATTAATATGTCATGTTCTATGAATTATTTAACGAGAAACCATCTTTATTATACATGTGTGTGAGATAGAGAGATCTAAATATAGCCAACCAAGAGCATCCGATGATAAAAGGAATCCGTTAGCATTCTCAGCATTTGTATTCAGATTTTGATGAGTCCATTACCATCACCCAGTCAATGGACTCCTACTATTTTACCAACATAACATAGCTATTATTCATTCTGTTCATGATAGCAGTTCAGGCTCTATATCAAGTTGATTATGAATCTTCCTTGAGAATAAGAACATTTTTGGATAGTGCGTAATTTCTTTAGATTGATATACCATTTTATTTTATTTTAAGTTGTTTAATTGTTGTGAGTATATTTTATATGTAGTGTTAAGGTTTTTTTTCCCTTGCTTACCTATAGGAATGGGACAGTTTGATGCTAGCCAACTTTGCAATGGAGAAACAACTACATACAGCAAGGCAAGAGTTGAGTCATGCTTTGTATCAGGTAATGTAACTAGGAAATATATATTCTAACTACATATATTTCTTACGAGTTTCTTCTTTTGTTTTATTCATTTCATTCAAACTACATATATAGCTTACATGTGTTTTGCATTTTGATACTCATTTTCTTATTTTTAGTGAATTGAAATGGAATTTGACTTGGTTGAATGACCTAATTTGGTAATCTGTATTTTGGCAGCATGATGCTGCATGCCGTGTTATTGCAAGACTCAAAAAAGAAAGGGACGAAGCAAGGTCATTACTTGCTCAGGCTGAGAGACAAATTCCCGCAGCACAATCAGCAGTTGCAGTAAATGCTTCTGTCCATAGCAATGGAACGCCAGGTTCTTTCTCTGTATGCTTCTCTGAGAATATAACATATTTTCATAAATTAATTTGTTAATTAATTTGAGCTCTATTTTTTTTTCTTCTAGTTGCTGATGACCAGCAGGGACGTGGTGTGAGCAATATACGACCTGGAATATCTGCCAGTATCCTAGAGAAAATGACCGAATGTAATGTAACTCTTTCACAGCAGCGGAAGATGCGGCAGGTACTGTTTATGCTGTGTTGCATTCTCTGATTTGTCTGATGTCACATACCAAAGTTTTAACAGTTTACTTTCCATGTGTAGTTTACATAATCTTTTCTTGAGAAAAGCTGCTAGTGAAGTTCAGCTGTTTTCACAAAATTTATTTGATAAGTTCTGATGGTTATTGCTTTTATCTCTATGTTGCTTTGGGCTTTGGTGTTCAGATATCCCCAACATTAGCTCCAGTTGATGCGTTGGAGAGGTATACTCAGATATCTAGTCATCCTCTTCATAGAACAAGCAAACCAGGAATTTTATCGATTGATATTCAGTCTAACAAGGTATGAGATTGTGTTTACCTCTGTTATTATATCGTTTTGTTTAAGCATCACTTCCGTATGGGTATTTGACTCCAGTGAAAGACTCTTAGGTTCGTACTGGATGTTGCATGATTTTGCTCTTCAATACTGCCTTTGTACTATTAGAAGTGCATTTGTGATCTTTAATATTCATATATCTACAGGTTTAGGTTTGGGGATGATCCTAAACCAAATGTGTTGAAATGAAGAAAACAAATTTAGAAGGAACAAATCTAGAATTTATTGAGCCTTGAAGCTCTCTTGTTTTAGAGTTCTTTTGCGTAATGCTATATGATGAGAATTTAGATCTTTTGCATGCTTTTCCTACCTTAATCCACACTTTACACTGATCTTTCTCTTCATGGTATATACGGGATTACGGATTAAGGACAAAGTCATAAATCCTTGTGTGTCTGTCCTCTGTATTTTATGTCATTGAACTCAGTTATGTTTCCATTTTGCTGATCAAGTATTACTTTTTGGCTTTATTCTCGCAGAATCTCATTGCAACTGGAGGGGTTGATACAAATGCTGTAATCTTTGATCAGCCATCAGGGCAAATAATATCTACTCTTAGTGGTCATTCAAAGAAGGTTTCAACTATTAATTCTGTAGCAAGCAATTACTTGATTTCTTTCCATGAATGCATATTAAAGTTTGTGTATGTTTTTCTTTGGTAGGTTACAAGCGTGAAATTTGTAGGTCGGGATGATGTGTTCATAAGTGGGTCAGCAGACAAGGTAAGCCGCAATAAATTTGTTTTCTTCTTGTTTCTTTTTTATGGACAATTTTAATACCTCCATTGATCTATTTATTTCTTCATTACTATTTTATCTTCTCTATTTACTGGAGTTATCATTAGCTTTGTTTGTCATTCATTATTAATTTGGCCACTGCTAAACTCTGCCTACCTCACAGTTACAAGTTTAGCCTTGGGACTTTGTATGTACATCTGTGTGGACCTACACGGATTTAAATTTATATTCTAAAGTTAGTTTTTATGCAACTGGGGTGGTGATCAACCTCCCTGACCCAAACACAAAAAGAAGGAGATCAGGAAGGATAAATTGAAGTCAATAAAGAACATTACATGCATGCAATTTAGATGTTATTGCATAGGTTGTAAGGGTGTAACTAATCAGATATTCAACCTAGTGTACTCCATCTTTTGATGTTGTATCATCATTTTTCCCCTTTAATGTTGCAGACAGTTCGCATATGGCAAGGCTCTGATGATGGAAACTATAACTGTAGGCACATTTTGAAGGACCATACTGCTGAGGTAAATGGTTTGGACTTGAGTTCTCCAAAATTTGTTCAAAGTTAAAGCCCTTGGACAAAATATGTAATGAGCAGCAAATCCAAAAAAGGACCGCAGTGAATCTTCCTCTTTGTTTCTCCTGCAGACACACATATCTATTTGACTTAAATCTGTTTTAGCAATGTGACTGTAATTAATGTACTTCAAACCCCAGGTCTACTTTTTGTGTCCACTTCTGTAATGTTTCTTTGTATTCAGGATTCGAAATCCATAGTTGATGTTATAGGATGTCTGGTAACCAAAATTTTATACCAATGTCCATGATAAAACAACTGCTATCTGAAAATTTCACTTTATTTTGATATTTGTTTGACGGTACTGCTTAAGAAACAGAGCTTTATTATGCAACATTTTTTTGGTATAGTAGTTATGTGCTATCTATTGGAATTTATGTAGTGCGTCTCAAAATTTTCAGGTGCAAGCTGTTACTGTGCATGCCACTGGTGACTACTTTGTGACTGCTTCTCTTGATAGTACATGGTGCTTTTACGATATTGCTTCTGGGTTATGTCTAACACAGGTCTATCTCGCTCTCTCATGTGTATGTGCATATGCCATATACTATATACTATATTAAGTAATATTCTTTTTAAGTCATCTTCTAGTACAAGGCAGTTCATTACAAATGCATGAACTTGAATTTCACTGTGTTTAATAACAATCTCGTTGCATTTTGTATGGAAAATATTTCTGATTGATTGTGTTGAAAGTTTCTGTAAACTGTTTAAATAGATGCATGTATATAGGTGCATATGTGCTTCTATATTTATTGAGTTCACTACAATAATGAATGATAATTGTAAAAATCTTCTTCATTTAAAAGATATTTTGAACTTTGGTTTTTGGAGGAAGGAGGGAAGGGGGTTGTGGGGTTGTGGCATTTAAGAATGAGTTTTTAATCTTTTGGAGAGGATGGCGGGTTTAAAACAGCTATTTCAACTTCGATTTACATTTATGCTTCATGATGATATTGGTATAATGGAAGTTTATTTGGCTCTTTAGGTTGAGGATGCTTCTGCTTCGGAAGGCTATACATCTGTTGCATTTCATCCTGATGGTCTCATTCTTGGAACTGGCACCTCAGAGGCTCTTGTGAAAATTTGGGATGTAAAGGGTCAGGTATGTGGGTTTTTATTTCCTTCTCTTTTCAGTTTTTCTGATCTTACATTCATTACTTTTGCTAATTGACAGTCAAATGTTGCAACGTTTGAGGGACATGTTGGTGCAATAACTGCAATCTCCTTCTCTGAGAATGGTTACTTTCTTGCGGTAGGTTTTGAACCTTTTTACAAAGAAAAACGTGAAGTGGATAGAATTAGATAATACCATGTTCTTATTTTACATTTGAATTTAACAGACTGCAGCTAGTGATGGCATTAAGTTGTGGGATCTACGAAAATTGAGGAACTTCAAGAAATTTACTCCCTACGATGCTGAACCAACAAACTGTGGTATGTATATCTCCAAGCATTTTCATGATTTCTTTCTAGGGAACAAAAATGACAAGCATTTCAGTGACAATACCGGTACTTTGCAAAGTCAGTTAAATGGCTTGAAAGTATTACTTAACTTCTTACAGGTTCTTAGTTTAGATGGTGGATTCTTGGGTCATATCATATATGTAATTCTAATTCTTGGTAGATGAGAGATGATTTTGAGTCATATTTCCATCCAGTTTACCCTATTTATTTTCTCTTCCAGCGTACAATTTTCCATTGTTATGTAATCTCTAATTAGTTATAATAAATTGGAAAAGGTTTTGTACTTGAATGAATTTTAACATCTAGATAGAAGTCTTTGAAAGTAGAATGGAGTATAATGAAAAGCTCTATTTTTGATCCTTGCAGTTGAATTTGACTACAGTGGAAATTACCTTGCTGCTGCAGGCTCTGATATAAGGTCAGTGTTTGAAAATTAAACCTTGTTTGATTGGGCACCCAGAAGAAAAAAAAGTTTATATAAGCGAAACGCTGTATTTTCCTTTTTCTAATCTGGTGTACAAGAATGCATTTTCATTTTATGTTAATAATGTGATGAAGCTGAACATATTTGTGGAGGCTGTATACAAGTTGCAATCGTCTAATGATATACCATACAATGTAATATTCCAAGGACAATTATGGAATACTCAGGGTGTCCTGTTGCCTTCTCCCTCCCCTTTTTCTCGATTCATGAAGATAATGAAATGAAATCACTTGCGTAGATTTACTAGACATTGTGTGGTGGTCCGAGCAAAACTGAAATCCCCCATAATAATAGTCAACTGCTGAAGTTGTCCCAAAGTATCCACAGTTTGCTATGAATGAATGTGTGAGAAATGACATTGTATATTTTGTCAGCCCTACAGAGTTTTGACGAATATTCCGCCAGTATTGCTTTCCAGAAACTTTTGAGCACTGATTACCGACGTTGTGTTTTTGCAGAATCATCCAAACAGCTAGCGTCAAAAGTGAATGGAACACTATAAAGACTTTCCCTGACATGTCTGGCACAGGTTACCTATCATCACTTGCCTGTAAATTTGGTTGTAGACCATGTGGCCTTGACTTGGGGTTAGTCTGTGATGCTCATTATTTTCTTGTTTCGTTCTAGGTAAAGCAACAAGTGTGAAGTTTGGACCAGATGCAAATTATATTGCAGTAGGATCAATGGACCGAAACCTTCGCATTTTTGGCCTGCCTGGCGTAGATGGTGCAATGGAGTCCTGAAGTGGTGATAATCTGCAGTTTGCTGAATCAAGATAATTTCGAAATTTACTTGAATGCATCTTGTTGGCGGCTTTGTAGCAAATCTACCATTCGGAATGTATTTCTGTAGTTTTATGTTTCCATGTGCAGTATCAGCTGAGCGTTAAACATATTCGAGGAAAAAAATAGAGGAATGCTGAAGCGATTTTTGAATATCTTGGCATATCATACTTTTAGTTGTACTATTTTCATATGTTGCCTTAAAATCTCTCGTCTTAACTTCTTTGGTGATGAAGACTTGAAAAAAGAATGCAACATATTGGTATTTTATCTTTTCTTTACTATTATTTTATAGAAAAAGTGGTTTTTGAAATTTCATGCTAGTTTAGATTTATTTCTTGAGCTAAATAGTTTTTTACTGAAGCAAACAGCAATGCGAGACGGTGCATGTTTTGTTAAGTTATAGGGATTTAATTCAGAACCAACTAAACAATGTCCCTGGAACAACTATTTCCACGCTTTTTCCGAGATAATTAGAGCATTAGTCTCTCAACTATAGTTAAGTTGGAGCTTTGTGCTTCGAATTAAGAATGCATGAGTATTGATCTTTAAACTTGTCATAACACGGAGCAACGTTTTAGAACTTAAGTACCTTACTTGTCTGTTAAACCCCTAAATGGTGTTGCCTAAAAGCAAGGTTTTAAAAGGAGTTAATTGGGCGGCGGGCAAGGCCCTAGCATCTAGGAGGGTTCTAGGTGGTTTTTTTTTTTTTTTTTATAATTATATTTATTATGTAAATTATAAATAAATGTCTACTTAACTATAAAAGATATATAATTGCAGTGAGATACATTATAACTGAAGTTTTTAGTGGGATACATAATGATGATAGTTATCTATTTTCTATCTAAGTAAAAGTAGCGACCTAAACGGACCCCTTCTTATTTTTCAAATGCTTATAGATTAATCGAGGCAGTAATTAGCTCCATAGTACCTAGGCCTCGAGCTAGACGGAGATTTTCAGAACAGTGCCTAAAAGTCCAAGAACCAATGATCTAATTCTCCACACATTGTTGCTCTCTCCTACCACGAGTAAAAACCTCCCAAAGATCAAATGTAGAACTGTTCTTAGTGTTGTATTTCACTACTGAAACAATAAGTACATGCCTACAACTACATAATTAAGGGAAAATTAGATCTTTAAGACATTGATTGTTGCACAAATTGAATTTAAACCCCATAAATTACAGCTTCAAATCTAATAGCTTTCCAAAAGTATTTCATCCCACGTTAATCAAACCTCTCCTGTGTTGAATGGTGCAAACTATAACAAGAATAAAGAATGTGATCACCAACAGATACAAATGCATAACATCGTCTTCGTCTTGTATCATGTAAGGTACCGTGACACGTGTGTAAAACCCCAAAGCTGCATATATGAACGAAACATACGTGAGTACGCAGTCAAGTAAGGAATATACGCAAGTATGCAGTCAAGCTTGAAGCCCAAGGGGTTGCTCAAATAGATTACCTCAACATTCTTCAACTCAAATTCTCCGTTATGCGCCAAGCATAAGTTCCCAAATGTTTCACATGATCCGCTTGTTCCGCTTAACCTTTTTCAAACAAAAGTATACAATTATGACAAGAATCTGCAAGCACTTTCCCATTGGACTAGGGGGAAAATGTTCAAAGCATAACATTGTAAGAGTAACTTACAAATCTCCATCTAGGCATAGAGCATAGTTACCACCTCCCCCAAGAGCTAGCAAGTCATTCAAACACATGTAATAATACCGGTTGGCTCCTATGTAGACAAATTAGACCGGGATCAGCGTTGGCTTTTTCTCTCTTATTGGAAAAAAGGTAAAACAAAATTTGGAAAATCTATCTATGGCTTTTCAATCATCAACAAGGCTGTTTAGTTACATATTGTTCGATTACCATTCAAATTTAAGGTACCAATTTTATATGTTGTGAGAAAATATGTTAAAGAGCCAGTCCATATGAAGGATGAATTGACACGCAACGCAGCAAGGTCATCCACTGAGGTATCATTTAGCATCTCTATCTTAAGCTCCGCAACATACGCAAGTGTTCAGTGTTCTTGGCATGCCCATCACCAGTTATCTCTTCTCTATACCCAAATTACACATCACCCATATTCGACTGCCAGATCCACCAAAAGGAAACATGCATCCACAAATAAATAGGAGAAAATGCTTACCTGTTGGCCTAAACAGCCTTGGTTCTCCATATATGGTCGTGAAAACAAATGTTTGGTTTGTTCCCTATAACCAAAAGGCAGGCATAAGAATGTGCTTATATTGGACTGATAAAGAAAGAGAAAGTTCAGATATTTACATAACCACAGTCAAGAGAACTTCCCAATATTCATTAACATCAATAAAAAAAACAAAAAGAAAACATATGTTGATTAAGGTAAAAGCATGTTTACTTGATATTTTCTCTTTGACGTGGGTTTCAAGGGCCCCTCTAGAAGTCCACCAAATACAGCACCTTGCCTATCTCCAGCAATCTAGAATTTTAAAGACAGTCCACATTATCTTCACATAACTACAAACAAATCAATTCATCAATTTTCAAACGTCATTGGCAGATTCATTAACATACCAGCAAACAAGGACCAGAAAGCTCAGAGCTTTTGCGGATAAGTGTGCGCAGTGATATACCATGTTTCGCCGTACTGCCCTTCATTCAAAAGAATTGATACTGAATCGAAATCCAAATGCAACAATAGCAGAGTACTTCTAATGCAGGGAATACTCCTCAAGAAGCTTACCTATACAGCAAAACCCATTGGCACCCTTTCACTATATTAGGAAGTGACGACAGTAAGAATTCATGCAGGTCTGAGGAAATAAAGACCGAGTCATCCATGAGAAGTGGTAGTTGCTTCTGTAGACTCTGCTGGTCAGCTGCTTCTTCAAATACCTCAGAACCACTGGTGCTCCCTCCAGAAGCACGGTCATCATCGTTTTCACAATTGTTTTCTGTTTCCTTGTTCTCACCTGGTGGGGAACGACATTCTACATATCTATGAACGGATTCATCTTGGGATTCAAAGTTGCCGCTACTAACAATTGTTGATTGATGCTTGTTTGAAGTGGATCCACCAAAGCCTACCGATGGACAGGAAAAGTATGAAGGCAAATATTTACCCCCTGTAGAATACAGCCTGGCCTACACATTGAAAGACCTAATGTGATAAATCACGATACACAATGAAAGAAGAAATCAACTGAACAAAACTGTAAATTTAAGCATGCACGGTCAAGATAAACTTTTCGGACCAACAAGGGCACAAACTTATAAAATGGAGCTAAACTTCTGCCCGAGTAAGCCGCAATTGAATAACTTCATGGTAAAAACAAAGACAAAAAGGCCATAAAACTCAGCTCCCCAAGTTTCTGGGCAGATTACCATCAGAATAACTGCAATAACTGAATGATTCCAACTCTGTTGTTTTGGCAGTTAAATTTGAATTGTATCAATATAATTCGCTTCGTGAGATCTCAAGTTCTGAACTATAAGCAGAACCAATTTACCCAAAAAACCCAACTCCGAAATTACGTTATCTAAGAAACCCAGATCTCAAAATTCTTGAACAACAAGGATCACATCAACAATTCAAGCACACCCATCAAGCTCAATCATTCAATCCAACGAAACACATAAACAAAAACGAAAAAGATAAAAAATTGGATCAGGAAATTACCTCAGGAGGATGATCGTTGTCGTCGAGTGGGGAAGGAAGAGAAGAAGAAGACGGCGAGTTGGGTGCATCGGCAAAGAGACGTGAGAGCTTCTGTGTAACTTTGTCTTTCAATGTAAACATTGTGTGATTGTTACCGTGAGGAAGCAGACGTGCGGGCGTTTGAATCTCAGCCTTTTTTTTATCTCACATTTTTCTTTTGGGGTTTCGATTTTCGTTATTTTGTGATGGAGGAAAAAGATGGACGCGTGGCGTCGGTAGCAAGGACGGCAATCAGAGGTGGGGCAATGCCACAATGCGACTTGGATTCTATTCCTTCCTTCCTTTACTCGTTATATTGCTAATTAGTGCTGGAGCGGAACTTCAATTTTTTTTTTTATATTACCAGAGCCAGAGGTTGTTATAAAGTTAAACGGTCACATATGCTTCACGTCATTTTGTTTGTGTTGTTCATGTATTTGGCTTAAAATTCAACACATATGATAGAGTGTATTGAGAATGAGTTCCACATCAATAAAGAGAATGACCTTATATGAACATATAAGCAAGTTATTTACTTTAACTGTGTAATTGGCCTTTTGTTTTAATAAAGAATAAAGGTAGTGAGACCGCATTTTTGTGCTACTTTTGTCATTTGTGTGTCACATAATGAGGCAAATAATGCATATAAACAAGATTAAATGAGAAAAATTGTTTAACTAACATGACATGTACAATCACTTATCATATTATATGGTACATAAATGTGATATCCCTAACATTTTCCAATAACCTTAGCTCAATTAAAGAGAAATAATAGTTCTTGAATGCGTTATTCGATGTGCCATTGCAAACGTCTAGCAACAAGTGACTGAGCGACGTGCCTTCGTACAAATTCGCAAATGTCATCCTTACGAAATTTTAGAAATTTTAACGTTGTGGCTTAGTTGCTCTAGACAAAAAGACAAAATCACCCCTTCTCTCTCACCCCTTCTATCCCCACCCCCACCCCCACCCCTAGCGCGAAAGAAAGGACATGAAAGATTTCTCTGACTGTCCGACTGTATAAGCCAAAAAAATGCCTCAAATGTAGTAACCTTCCACTTTCTCTCAAAATCAACAAGTGATTTTGATGTAAGACAAGAATGGTGTGAATTACTGCAAAGAATAGTAAGCGCTTAATAATTGACAAAAAAGGATGCATGAGTTGAAAAAAAACTCCACTTCAATATTAAATATAGCGTTAAAAGGAAGAAAAATATTTTGTTGAGATTTTTGGGTTACTTGAGAAATAGACTCAAGGAACACACAAGGCCACATCGGAAATTTAGAGAATTGGGTCCATGACACTTTTTCAAAAAGAGTGTGATGTCCATATTTAAACTCGCTACTTTGCTATGATGTATGACGAATTTTAACCATCTAAGGTCGTTCAGACTTCATAAACCACAAAATAAAGTTTGTAACAAATTTCAGACTTTTCAATTTCTATCCAAATTTATGTCGTTTTTATTTCCAAAGACCCTTGAGCCTTTCTAAGGCTGTGTTTAATTTTATTTACGCCATTTGGCTCCCAATGTAATGCATCAATTTAGAAATAATCAAACGACATTTCGGTTCTATTCCAATCTGTACTAAGTTAATTGGTATCAGAGTAGGAATTTTCCTTGTTCTAATAAAAATCAATCATGGGAGGTACAAACCTCTCTTGAAGACTGATTGTGAGAGGAATGTTATTTGTGGCACACCAAAGATCTTCTATGGTGGTTGCAAACCCAGTCTTTTATTGATGGTGAATGCGTTGGAGGATTTTCCTTAAGCCAAACTCGTCAGCTTGATCTTGGGAATCCTCTTTTTGAGGTTGGTGAATACAGAGAAAATTTTCTTAATTGAGTTTTAGTTATAGAGCAACTCTTCAAAGAAATAACTATTCCAAAGGAGAAGATGATCAATATAGCTGCTTTCATTTAAAGGGAAATATTGTTTTTTGGTGGAATAGTTTGTAAAAGGTCAAGTTGACTCAAGTCATCACCACTTAATCAAGTAGGTTAAGCTGAGTCAAGTCAAGTCACCACCATTGAATCAAGTAGGTTAAGTTGAGTCAAGTCATAACTGTCGTCACGACCACCACCACTAGCACATTTCTTAGCTGTTATCCTCTTATTTATATATTAATGACTTTAGATAATTTAAACTCTATATTTAAATTTCACTTTTCTATTAAGAAGAAAATTGACATATACAAGATATTAAAATTCCATCATTGTGTATTCCTTTGTAATCTAAAATTTGTTCCGCCCAATACAAGGTTATTTTCAAGGAAAAATTACACATAAAGTATACTTTTAATACTTAATTGTATGTCGAGACAACACTTTTTAAACATTTCAAGGAGAGACAAAAATTAGGGTAAATTACACAAAACTACCTCATCTATTGGTCTTATGAAACTTTCATACCTTATCTTTTTAAAATGACAATGTCACCAATTTGTCTTCCCCCCTTCCCCACCCCCTCTTCTCCCCCCACTTGAGCCTAACCTGCAACCCAAAAAAAACAAACTTAGATCCCGTCTACCCCTACGAAGGGCGATTCTGCGGGTGGAAAAATGGGGGGAATGGGTGTGGATTTAAGGAGTGGGGTGTGTAGAGGAGGGAATAGGGTGGGTGCGGGGAGAAGATAAACTGGGAAGAAGATGAAGATGGGGGAGAAGAGAGGAGAGGATGAGGGGAAGGGGTCGGGGAAGTTTGGGCTTTTTTTTTTTTTTAATTTTTTTTTTCTAGGTTGCAGGTAGGGGATGAAGATGAAGATGGGGGAGAAGAGAGAGAGACAAGGAGGGGAGAGAGAGAGAGAGATTTAATAAAAAAATTATTTTTTTAATTTTTAATTATTAAAAATATATTTAATAATTTTTAAATCCAGTTGAATTAGTGAGTGGATCCCGCATGTAGCCACGTCAACACTTAACAGAAAAACTGACAGAGATATGACATTGGCACAACATTTTAAAAAGATTAGGTATGAAAGTGTTGTGAGACCAATAATTGAGGTAGTTTTGTGTAATTTACCCCCAAAAATTAATACATGTAGAAGATGACCTCATGGACTTTTTTTTATGGAGTGTAAGTTACAAAAATACCCTTTATATCTAATAACCCTTTCTTTTAAAATTTAAAAACATAGAAATCAATATGTAGATAAACCAACTGTCATTCAAAAAACAAATTGGGTAATTGTTGAGATATCATGAACCCATGAAGAGTGAAACTGTGCTTGTGTTTTGGCTATTCATGCCCCTCGAAAAGGAATTGGATTTTTTTTTTTTTTAATCAAACTATAATGCTTCCATTAAATAAAAAAAGCAAGTATAAAGAAAAGGCAGCCCAAAAGACAGCCCGCCTTTTAAATACAAGCCCAACTGTAAATAAGAAAATACATAGGCCCAAAAGTGGCCAATTGAACAACAATAAAAAATCCTAAGACTGGAATGGAAACTAGCAATCACCAGATGCGCCTCCATCGCAAGGTCACCACCACTACCAAGAGAACAGACCAATGGAACAACATGATCAACGACAAATGGGGGTGAGCGAGCCACCCGTGCAGTTAGCGCTCCCATAATCCTACCCAATAGTGCTAAAAATACTTTAACAACCACCCAACACCCAAGAAGAAGCACACGAGCCAAGTAGCAGAGGCTGGTAGTAGAGTATGGGTGACGTACAATAGCATTGGAGCAAGAGAGGGCCATGAAGGTCCAGATTTGAGACCAGCTCATGGGAATTGAGACAAAGTTCAAAGAACAAAGCTCAAGGAAGCCAAAACAAAGACCAAAAAAGAAAAAGTGTAGAAATTAAAAAACTTTTTAAGTGGAATGATGAAAGAAATGAAGGGGAAGAGAGAAGATGCAAAAAGTGTAGATGGATGGGAAAGAAGGAAGGAGGGGGAAAGATGGGGAGAAAGGGAATATGCAGAGAATGGAGAAGGGAGAGAAAGAGGGAAGGAATGTTAGAGGTGGGAGTGTTAAGCTGCCTCCAACTCCAAACCGGAGTAAGGAGCGGCGGCTAGAAGGATTTTTTTTTCCTTTCCTGAAGGCCGGAAAGGAAGGTTCTAGAGAGAGAGAGAGAGAACGCATCCCTCACCCCTTACTTTCGAAAAGGAATTGTTGAGGGAGGTATTAACCATTTTTACCAAGACCTATATCTCCTTTTGTCTGACATCCACGCTTTTTTTAATAGTTTATATATTTACAATAATGAGATGGTACTTGAAGTGAATCAAGTGATTAAGATCAAACCCACATTTAATTTCTAATCATATTCGTGGCAATGTCACGCATATTTGACATATGGGAGCCAACCAAGGCTTCAAGCATTTCAGTGTGCCAACGTTACCAAAATGTTCGTCACCGGCCTCTCCTCATGTCCAGTTGGAGGTTTTCTTATTGAATGGTGACTCTAGTCAAATATCAGTTTTGAATCAAATTCTTTAATTGCGTGTAAGTATTGTGAATCTGAGTTTTGTGTAATGAAATGAGATATATTTTATGAAAAATATGATGAATCTTGCATTGTTTAAAAGTTTTAGCTTACCAGTGTAGTTTGTTAAGCCCTTAATATGCATATTGTGAAAGAAAATCGATAATACTTAATAATTGCCAACACGTGCATAGATTGAGTACAATGAATATCAAATCAAGATGCCTAGAAATAAAACGAACCAAGCTAGTACTAAAAACAAAGACCAACTTATCCAAGGACCAACCAGGCAACAAAGTAAACTTAACTAAGCACTAATTATGCAAGCATCATTCCACTAGATAAACTTTAGCCTCCATATCCAGAATCTAGACGACCATGACAAACGTGTACCAAAACACATATCCACTAGGGACCTGGATTGTCTACCCTTCCCATCTCATCCTATTTCTGTGGTCACGGTTAAGCCACGTCAACATTTTATATTCACATTGCTTTTTGTCTTATTATTTCTATATATAAAAAAAATCAACATAAAATGTTGACGTAGCTTAACCGTGATCATAAAAATTGGAGGGGATGAGAACGGTACGGAATGGGGAGGGCAGACAATCCAGGTCCATCCACTAGATAAACTTGAGCATGTTTATTGCTCTGATTGAAATTATAATAATTGAAAAATCAAAGATGTACAAGGAAGCATCAGGACTCTGCTAATTGGCATTATTACTTAGATTCCAAAAATGGTCGAGAATGGGTTGAATTGAGTCTGCAAAAATAGGCAATGACTGATTGAATTGATTCTGCAAAAATGGTCGAGAATAGATTGAATTGATTCTACAAAAAATGATCGAGGATTGATTGAAATGATTCTGCAAAAATAGTCAATGATGGGTTGAATTGATTCTGCAAAAATGGTGGATAACGGGTTGAACTGATTCTGCAAAAATGATCGAGGACTGATTGAACTGATTCTACAAAAATGATCGAGAACGGGTTGAACTGATTCTACAAAAATGACCGATGACTGATTGAACTGATTCTGCAAAAATAGTCACAGACAGGTTGAACTGATTTAACAAAAATGGTCGATGAGGAGTTGAACTGATTTTGCAAAAATGGTCAAAGATTGATTGAACTGATTTTGCAAAAAGGTCGAAAACGGGTTGAACTAATTCTGTAAAAATGGTCGATGATGAGTTAAACCGATTCTAGTAATAAATAATACAAACTGATTCTACATATAGTTTCAAAACTATATGTACATATTAATTTTGTTGGAGTTGAAATAGTCGATGATGGGTTGAGCTTATATCATATATTAATTTTGTTGGGGTTATGAGGGTTGAGTTCTATTAACAGCCCTAAAGCTTTAGGGGTATGATTGATATTTTAAAACATTGTTTTCATGTTTTTGGACTGGGTTTTAGCTACTTTTTATTATTATTATTATTATTATTTTTTGTCTCTCATTGATATATTTAAAAACTAGTATAGTTTATTGAAATATAGTGAAATTTTTTGTCTCTATATATAAAAGCTCCATATTTTCAATCATCCTCGGGAAAATTCCCAAACAGTAGACATATATAATTATCAAAACCTGAAATTAAAAATAAGTTTACAAAATCAAATGGATGATGCCTCAATAAGAAAGTTTGTCACCAAAATTCAAAAGAAGAGTGACAACGCAACATCCATCACAAAATAAAATAATCATAAAAAAAAACTCACATGGGATTACATATGGTACATTTATATCAATTTTTTTTTTTTAAATTTAGATGACGTTTGATCATCATTTTGATTTTAGCTTTTTGTTTTCATTTTTAAAAAAATGAAAACTGAAATTTTATTTGGTGATAAATTTGTAAAAGCTCACTTGCAAAAAAAAAAAAAAAAACAAAAAACAAAATAATTAACAAAAGTGATGAATTTCTAAAAAAAAAAGAAAAAAAGAAAACTACTCTAAAACCCCCGAGTCGTTAGAAAACCAGGAAAAGGCCCGGTTAGGGTTTTTCACTTCCTGCGGGGTACGGCCATGTGGCGCAGAGCTGGATTGAGCTCGGGACTGAACCTCCGGAAGCTCTCAACCGCAGTACGACGTCGTATCGAGGACGAAGGCGACTGGTCCTACGCCTCGGAGTGGTGGGGGGAAGAATCCGAAGGCCACACCGTCCTCCGCTCCACATCCGACAAAGGCAATGGCGTTGTCTCAGTCATCGCCTATCCTTCCTCAAAACCCAGCGTGCTCCATTGGGCGTCGACAGAGAGATGGCTGCAGCAAAGGTACGAAGAGATACAGGAGTGCCGTCAGAACAACGAGAGATTCAGAGTGCTCGGATATCAATGGCGCGCTCTCCGCTTTAACGACGACACCCGCCAGAGCACCGTTAAGGTTTTGGCTGCCTATCGGCGATCGGAACCGGAATCGATCGCCCTTATGCAGCAGCCTCATTGCTTGGCTGTTCCTTGTAAGCAAAAGCCTTTTTCCCAATTCAATTTCTATCTAACATTTAATTACAGATTTTATCAAATTTGATGTGGGTTTTGTTTTAATTTAATTAATACCCAATTGAATTTCTAATTAGCATTTGCATACTGTTGAATCAAATTTGAATCATGGTGTTTGGTGATTGAACTTCTATATCTAGTGTTTCTGAGTGTATGACTAGTGATTGCATTACATTTGGTTACTTTCATTTTTCTAAAAGATTAAAGCTGTTGTGTGATGGATTCTGCTTTTTCAGATCTTAAGAGCATGTTAGCAGCTGGGTTGACCACTATAGCATCTTGTAATTACAATCTCATGAACGCGGTGACTGGGACCGAAAATATTCGTATATTGTGCATTGGTCAGGGTGGCGGAAGCTTACCGTTGTTTTTGGCTAGTAAAATTCAAGGTAGGTTGCATTGCTAGTTCTCTGTTAATGGCAGTGTGAATGGTTGTGGGAAATTGAAGGAATGAAGGATGTGCCTTTTTGGTAAATTGCTTTGTAAATACTGATTCTTGGTGATCTCCGAATCCAATCTGTTTTCGGCCATCCTATCAGAAGTCCTGAGCTGAATAATTGGGTATTGAACCTAACCTAGAATGTTCTGCTTCTTTTCAGGTGCTATTGTTGATGTAGTTGAAATCGACCCTCTCGTCATCTCAGCCTCAGTTCGAGCCATGGGATTTCCGGCTTTCTCAATTATGACTCCATCAGGCAAGCGTGCCGTGTCACCCAATACCATGGATACCGTTATGTGGAAAGGCATCCACGAGAGGCTGTTCCTCCATGAATCCGATGCCGAGGATTTCATTCTCAACACCACCATCCAGTATGATATGGTCTTCGTTGATGCTTATGATGGGGAAGACATATTCCCACGCAAGTTATGGGATCCACATTCCCCATTTCTAAAAGCCCTCAGCAGCCGGCTTCACCCAGATCATGGCACAGTTGTCGTGAACCTTCATTCAGATTCTGATATCTTGAACCCTGACGGTTCTGCACCATCCGTTTTGCAGCAAACTTTGCCAATGGGAAAGTACGTCTCGAGGGTTTGCCAGGCATACAAGGACGTGGTAGTGGGAGGGAAAGATTCTGGTTTGGGTTTTACAGTTTCAGTTCCGTGGGTGTGCAATTCTTCTCTGGTCGTGTGCAGAGGTTTTGTGGTAACGGGTGGGGATTGCAACAGGGATGTGATCATGGAGGCTCTGATATCCAAATCATTTGAATTGGAAAATGTACTCAACTTACCATTCTCCTGTTTTGAATATATAAAGAGAGGTTTTATACTTGTTGATTAATTTCATGACAAGTTTATACCTATCTAAGTTTCTTCACAGTTTTACCTCCGGATTAAATTCATCAGTTTGTCGTTACTTTGGCCTTGGCTGGTGTTAAACATGGGATAACTCACCAGATTCAATGTACGGATTCAAAAATGCCTTGACGAAGAGAAAATATGCAGAATTTGAGTTTGCACCCCACTCTGTAAATATTGTGTATGAACTTCAAAAATGGCTAAACGATTTCTTGGGTTATACGCAAGCCTATTGGGGATGACTTTGAAGGGAGAGGGTCTTGTGTGGGGAAGTCGGATTAGGAACATGTGAGATGGGGATGGTGGTGTGTGGGGTGTTTTTGAGGGGGTGGCGGGGTGTTTTTGTGTCTTGGTCCGTATAAAAATGGAGATTAGCATAACAAATCAAGGGTGATGGGATAGGGGGTGGTGTTTTTGTCCTGGCCCATAGGAAGCATGTAATTTTTTTTTTTTTTTGAACACACGGTAAGGGTGGGGAATGAGTTAAGTCTCACAATAGGCTTGTCATAATAATATGGTTCAACTTCGCCTTTACCTTTGCTTTTGGCGAGAATCAAACCTAAGACCTCTCGCGTATAAGTGAAGAAGAATCACTAGACCATAGTAAGTGGCTGTATAAACAGTTTTTGAATGTGCTTTAATAAACAGTTTCAAGTGCTTTTTCAAGAGGCATGAGAATTTTAAATACAATTTCCTACATATTTATAATGCGACATACTGCTTTCTACATAAACAGTCTTGACCAGATAGTTGTTAACTAAACCAAAATCAAAACATCTCAAAGTCGCAAGTGGCCTTTTACCACAGTGGTAGAAAGGTATTGAGCCTTTACATGATGACGTGGGTTTAAACCCCGTCGGTGACTGATCTAACATCTAATTTAACAAAATCTCATTTGAAAAAATAAAAACATCACAAAATCATAAAATTGAAATGGGCCGATCTTGGCCAATTATTATTGACAAACTCCATATATATCCGATAAAGGCCAGTAAAAATTGATCCGTCATTCCAAAACCCTAAAACCTAAACCCCTTTCAATTCTCTCTCACGAACACAAAACTCGAGATCAGAAGAATGGCTTCACAGGGTGTTAGGACTCTGGTTTAATAGTAGTAAGATGTTTATCCTTAGGGTGATATGGTCTTTTGAATTGTATGTTGTTGGTTTCATCCGATGATCTGTGAGTGATGATGTGTTCCAATTGTGTACACTCTTGCATTAAGGTTGTATATGAATCAATTTCCACCATTTGAGGGAGATATGAATGAAATCAGAATGTTTTAGTTTTTTCCTTCTTCCTTTCCTCTTTGTAGCACCCCTTTCTGTTTAGGTTCTATCATCTGGTATCAACATCCAGGTGTGTTCTTTCCATGGGCAAGAGCAAAGCCTCCGTGGTAGCCGTCGACGTCACGGAGGTCGATCTCGAACTCGAGTATCAGCAACACCAAATTCTTGAGCAACTCAACGAGTTCCATGACTCTGTGTCCTTGTTGGCCACCCGTCAGGAGACCTTCCCAATCCCACATGACGGATATTCAGGCATCCTTGGCCAATCCCATCTCATGGAGGAGCTTCGGTCCTCCTGCCCACCACCACCCCCACCTACTCAGGTATCCCAGATCCCAATTGGTTATCTTCATATTTCGATTGGCTCTACATCTACCCCCCTAACCCACCCTCCTGCTTTTGCCCCACCTCATACATGGGGTTTTCCCTACCCCAAATCACCCAACATCCCTTACGCACTTTCCCCGGTGACCGGTTACCCCCAGGCCTCTCCACACTTCTCCACAGCTACTACCGCTCTTCGCCATCCCCTCCCCCTACCTTTCCCCACCACCAACACCACCCCATCTTTCCTGCTCCGCCGTCCCCTTCCACTAGTCCCAAATTCATGAAAATTGAACTTTTCCGTTTCTCCAGTAACAACCCATACAGCTGGTTAGCATTGGCCGAGTAGTACATAGACAACCATGGGGTCAAACCCCACAACCGAGTCACGGTGGTGGGCCTTAATTTCACTAGTGATGCGGCTTTATAGTTCAAGTGGTACAAACTGCATTTGGGTCAGCTCTTTAGGCCACTTTCACGGAATGCCTCTTACAACGCTTTGGGCTGGGTGACTAACTCGACTTCAATATGTCTTTCTCTCATGTAGCCTAAAAAGGCTCTTTAGAGGCCTATGTGAATGACTTCATTCGTTTGCCTTGCCAAGCCCAATAATGGACCGGTGCACAGCTTCTGGGCGTTTTCCTTAGTGGGCTCAAGGTGGAGTTACAAGATGATGTCTTAGCCCAGGGCCCTCGTTCTTTGGCCCACGCCATCGAACTTGCCCGCATCTACAACAATAAGCAATAACGGCGTCATACCTCTTTCTGCCTATTCTCTATTCGCCCTTCTTCGGCATTCCTGGCAGCATCTTCGACGGTGGCCGCTCCACCCAACAAACCACCTTCCACCTCACCACCTTGACCCCTGCTCTGCCTATCTCCGACCGAAGCTCATGAGCACCGTTCTCTAGGCCAGTGTCTTGACCTACCATTTATTGTTGTTGGATACAGCAGCAGTCTCCGAAGTTGCCTCGGATTCAACCCTTGATGACCTTTCACCCGCGCCTGATGAGACCTTATTGGATGAGACTGTCCCCATCACTCTCAACACCCTGGTTTCGTCTAAACGTACTTAAGGGTGTGCCATGCGACTTATGGGCTTCAGTGCCACACTGCCTATCTAAGTTTTTATGGATTCCAGCACGAACCTGAAATTTTTCGACCCCTCGATCATGTTGCGTCTTGGCCTGCGCATTGATCATTCTTCGGTGGAACCGGTGGCTGTCGCTAATAGTGGTATCTGTTATACCTAAGGCATCAATTACAACTTCATAATGACCCTACATGACTATACCTTTTCTTCTTATATTCTCTTTCTTTCAGTACGGGGCTGCGATTTGGTTCTCAAGGCTGAATGGTTAGAAACGTTGGGTTTCATTGGGTGGCATTTCAAGCACAAAGTCATGGAATTCCAAATTAAGGGCCACAATTATCATTTGGTAGGACTCCACTCCTCAGATTCTCCTTCCTCTCTGCCTTTATCACTGTCCACATCTTTCAGGCCTAACATTGACTCCTTCCTAGCCTCTCTTTTGAGCCCTTCTGCACCACTTACGGTGGTCCACCCTATACTGCCCCCGATCGTCTCCCTTTTGGGTAGCTATTTAGACCTTTTTGTTGCTCCAATGGGCCTCCATCCTCACCGGGACTTTGACCACCGAATCACCTTGCTGCCAGGCATTCCCCCAGTAAAGGTTCGACCTTACCACTACACCTATGTTCAAAAAATAAAAATGGAAACACAGGTGGATGAAATGCATGCCGCCAGCCTAATTTGCCCCAGTTCAAGTCTCTTATCTTCTCCCGCACTCTTGGTTCATAAAGCCGACTCAAATTGGTGCTTTTGTGTGGATTACGAATCAAGTGACTGTCAAATTTCCATTCCCAATCCCCATCATCGACAAGCTACTTGACGAACTCAGGGTGGCTAAGATCTTTTCTAAATTAGATCTTCGGTCCGGGTTTTACCAAATCCGTATGTATGAACATGATATCCCAAAGACGACTTTCCGCACCTATGACATACATTTTGAATTTGTGGTCATGCCCTTTGGCCGGTGTAATGCGCCTTCAACGTTTCAAGCACTTATGAACTCCATCTTCAAGCCATTTCTACGTAAGTTTGTCTTGGTTTTTGTCGATGATATCCTCATCTTTAGCCTGGACTTACCTACTCATTTGCATTATTTAACCTCTGTTTTTGATGTTCTAAGAGCACATGATCTGAGAGTCAAGCAGTCTAAATGCTCATTTGGCTAACCCACGGTGGCCTACCTTGTCACATAATTTCGGCCGAAGGTATGGCCGTGGATTCTCAGAAGGTGCACTGCATCATGGAATGGCCTCCACCCCGCACTCTTAAAGCCTTACGTGGATTCTTAGGTCTGGCCGGCTGCTAATAGAAATTTGTGCGTCACTTCGGCCTTCTCGCTCGCCTTCTCACTTATCTCCTGAGAAACGATAACTTTATTTGGACTCCGGCAACAGCTCAGGCTTTTGTGGCTCTTAAATAGGCTTTCTCCTCCACCCCCGTATTAGCACTTCCGGATTTTTCCAGGCCCTTTACAGTGAAGTGCGATGCCTCTGACGCTGACATCGGAGTTTTGTTTTCCCAGGACTAGCATCTCATTGCTTTCCTGAGCAAGTCGTTATTTGACAAACATAAGGCTCTGTCCGTTTATGAGAAAGAAATGCTCGCCATTGTCTTCACTGTCCAGAAATGGCATCCCTACCTTTTTGGGAACTCCTTCAAGATTCTTACCGACCACCAAACGTTGAAACACTTCCTCAACCAACGCTTCACAACCTCTACTCAACAGAAATGGCTTTTAAAGTTGTTGGGCTACAGTTATATGCTGGAGTATCGGCCGGGGGCAACGAATACCACAACAGATGCATTGTCTAGGCAACATGAAAGGTTGGCACTCATAGGCCTCTCCCAGCCGATTTTTGACAGTATCTCTGATATTCAGGCCAAATACTCAACGAACCTAGAGGCTGCACAGATTGTCCACGCCTTAGAAAACAATCAACCTACCCGTTCTCACTTTTCTCTTCGAGAATATCTCTTGTACTATAAGGAGGGAATCTTCATGGCCTCATCATCTCCTTGGCGTCCTCAAATTTTGGCAGAGTTTCATTCTTCTCCTACCGCAGGCCACTCCAGGTACCTTCGCACATATAAACGTGTTCTTCACAATTTCAATTTGCTCGACTTAAAAAAAGAGGTCAAGACATTTATGGCTGCTTGTGACATTTGTCAACGCACGAACTATAAAACTCTCCAACCTTCAGGCTTACTATAGCCACTTCCAATCCTTATTCAAATTTGGACAGACATTGCAATGTACTTTATAGAGGGCCCTCCTTCCACTCATGGTTGTAACAACATC